CTATTCAGGCTTCATGATATGGAACAATTGAACAAATACAGTAGGGGGCACTGTTGTACTAAATGAGAATATAAGAATATGCCACAATTTCTAACATGAACTAACAATGGCAGCTAAAACAATCCTTTGTGTTTGTTTAGCTAGGATATGAAAATTTTCATATCCAGCTGTAGTCAGTTGCTGACTAATAATGAGTGTGTGCAGGAGGAAGCTACACTGATTTTGTTTCCCTTTCTTATGAAATATTTTGTCAATCTTTTGGAAAGTCATATTGCATTTTTCTGGGACTTCCAGCACCTGCAGGAATCTATTACTACACCATACCTGACAGATAACTATCCAGCCTCACTTTAAACACCTGTAGCCAAATTTCCCCAGCAGTTTGTTCCATTGTTGAATCCTTCTATCGTTAGAATGTCCAGCTAACATTAGATCCATTGTTCCTTGTCCTGTCTTTTTTTTATATACAGTAGTAATTTTATTAGAAATTACAGTTACAACAATACAGACTAATACAAACTAAAAAAGAGAAAAAAAAAGGAAGGTACAGAAAAGAAAAAATAGAAAAAGAAAAAAAGAAAAATAAGATATTAAAAAAAAGAAAATATATAAAGAAATGACTTCCTCTTTCATCACAACAAGTATAAACAATTTTAGTAACTTATCACTTTCTCTTAAAGTACAAATGATTTCCTTTTCCCATATCCCATCTCTTATCTATAAACAAATACTTAAAGTCTCATCATTTCAGTCCTGATGTCAGCAAAAGTCCATTAAGGATTACTAGAGACAGCAACATATCTATGTTAACCTTGATCAAATAAATCAAGTTTATTAGAAGTAAAAGGAAGGAATTTAATCTTGATCTTTAGTCCCTTCAAATAATGTCCTAGAACTTGATTTCATTGTTTTTGTCCCTTCTCACAAAATTCTTCAAAGCTTTAACAAGGCTCTTTTATACATCCAATATAGGAAAATTATCCAGGTCACTCTCTTGGTTTGTTATTTGTATATCCCTTTTAATAAGACATTAGCCGATTTCTGTTTTTTAAATATTTTTATTAAAGTTTATATATATAAAAACTAATACAAAACTAAAAAACCTACAAACGAAAAGAAAAAGAAAAAGAGAAAAGAGAAAGAAATGTAAAAGACTCCCCCCTCCCTCCAAACAAGTATATGTATTAATAGTAACTTAACACCTCTATTATTACTAAAAAAAAAAAAAAAACAACCCTCTTTATCCCCTTTCTCATCCCTAAATAATAACTGAATTATAAAAAATATTCAACAATCAATCTAATCAGCAAAAGGATTAAGAGTGCCAGCAATAATAAACTATAAATTTTAAGCTTAAACAAATAGGTCAATTTTGTATTTTAGCTTTTTTCTGAGAAGTGAAACTTAAAAGATCTCTCCCCTTAAGCATACAAAACACCAATAATAATCACATATGTGTTTCAAACTAAACCAAATAAATCACTTTTACAGGTATAAATCATTGTCTTACAGTCCTGGTCAGA